TTTTTATTTACTATGTAAAAATTCAATGTACCATGCAGATCATATGAAAAATGATCTATGTACACCCTACCCTTAAAATTGGCACTATTATAAAGGCATAGTTTTCCTAAATCTTCCGACACCTTCTATATATAGTCAAATTTTTAAAAAAATCGGCTTAGTCAGTCAGTCAGGTCAATTTTATCGCCAAATGCTTACAATCACTTGATAGTCTGGTAATAGATCTTACAGAGTTGATTAAAATTGATGAATCTTTTTCCACTTTACATCATGATATAGAATATAAAATCTTTATAAAAATGCTAATTTATAGACTTGGTTAGTGATTATGAAGCCCCAAAGTCTTTTTTATTAAAGTTTTTTTAATATATATATATATATATATATATATACTGTAGAAAATTGTACACTTTCAAAAACCTAATATTTTATCTGATTTTTATTTGTCAAATGGATTAAAACAAATTCAGAAATCCTTTTAGGTAAATAGATAAATAAAAGCCTCGAATTTAGGGGTTTTAGGGGTTAACCCTTTTCCGTTCTACATATATACATATATATATATGTATATATATATATATATATTTAGAAAGCATCGAATGGATCAACGGATCCGTGGCGAAGTCAATGTTAACACCCGATTTGATTAGTGTTAGCCCCTCCCCCCCGAATTAAAAAATACAGTAAGTTTAGATCAAGGAATTGGAAGATGTAGACTTCCATCAGTTTCTAATTAAGGTTTTATTAAGAGTAATGCGTGATATCTCATGTACTGTACGTACTGTACGTACATTACGTACATACGTACGTACGTCGTAGATCTGATATTCCGTAAATCTCGCGGAATTCGCCCGAAAGAAAAAGAAGTTCTAAAATATATTAACTATTTCTAAAATATATGATTATTTATTTATTTAATAAAATATAAAATATAAAATATAAAATATAAAATATATACGGTATAATAATTATTTACTGTATATTTTTTTAAACTAAATAAACATTAAAAAAGAAAAAACTTTCCGGTGAAAAAAGTGGTCCAAGCAGTGTCAAAAAAAACCCCATAGTAATGCATGATTTAATGTTTGTAATGTAAATAACATATATAAATTAAATTAATTTCTGAAATGCAGAAATGTGCCAAATAATAAAAACAATTATCATGTTTATCATGTAGTTATTAAAGATATACTTATGTACTGTACGTACAGTACATACATAATCAATGGATAAACCAAATACGCGAGAAATTTTTTTTATCCAGTTCTTTAAGTATACGTATAACAGAAATGTGTTTTATTCTAATTAGTATGAATAAACGTGACCTCATAGATAGTATTACGACAGTTAATATGAATACGCAAGTACTGTACGTACTGTACGTACTTGTGAATATATTTTTTTTTGAAGTCTTGTTTTGGAATCTAGGAAATACGCGCCATCAAACTATTCCATTTAATATTATTCACACGTACAAAATAACTTTAAATTCCTTAGTTCGTTTATTTGTGTTACGACGCTAACTAACTTGAAAAAATCTTTACACCAATCATGCCAAAAATATTATTTTATGGTATGATTGGTTCTTAATTGTGAGGCGATGTCGATTTACAGAATTATTTAGCGATGAATACGTACATCCTTTTTAAACGGTAACGATAAACATCTTTTATCTTCATCGGTATAAAAAAAAAATTCATATTCGGAATATTGATAGTTGAAAGTAATTATAAAAAATGATTACGAAAAAATGATTATGAAAATGATTATGAAAATGATTAGGAACAAATGATTATGAACAAATGATTATGAACAGATGATTATGAATAAATGATTATGAACAAATGATTATGAAAAAATAATTATGAAAAAATGATGAAAATGAATTCTACCTTATGATAATTTATTATGATTCATTTTAAGGAAATTTTTCCTTGATTTTTCTCCACGCGTCATTAATTGAATCACTTACCTGAATCATTAACTGAATCATTTAATTCAACACAAATAAAAAGTACAAAGAAAGATAACAAAGAACTTGAGTACAAAATGGTGTCACAGAGAATTACATGCATATCATGAAATTCAAATCTTAAGACAAACTAAGTTACGTTATAATTACGTATAGTTACGTTGTAATTACGTTAAAATAGGTTATAGTTGCGTTGTAGTTATAGTTCGTTATTTTAGTTACGTTAATAGATTCAAAAAAGTTCATTAAAGGAGAAATTATTCTCCATCAACGAGAAAGATTATACAATATTGTAGATCAAAAAAATTTGAAAACATTGAAACGGTATCATTTTAGATGTGTACAACATGCAAAAAATTTTGATTGGATGTGAACAATTGTACACACAACAAGGCTTTTTTAAAAACGCCGCATGATCAAACATTCTTGAACCTTATAATTTAATTTAAAACAAACGTGCATATGAGATCTGCGTATAGAACAAAAAAAAGAACAATGACTCCTGAAACAAAATCAAAACACAAATGCAAAAATGCTATATTCTCCCATGTTTGTTTAAAAATGGTACGTTTCTCGAATCCCTTACAGGTATTGCTTTACAGGTATTGTAACAAGAATTTCTTTGTTTTTCCTTGTTCTAATTTCTTTTTTTTTTTTTTAATTTTTTTTTTAATTTTTTTTGTTGATTTTTTTGTGTGGTCGTTACTTTATAAAATCAAATTAATATGACGATTAGTATAACATAATGTTTCATGAATTCTTTCAAAACGAGAGATCTTCAAAATGAAGGATCTTTCACCATGTGGCGCGGCGCAGTATACATGGAAATTAAAGAATTACAGAATTAAAGATGGGATTTTCAATTGAAGAAAAAATCGGGCATTTCCGTTACCCCGACTTATTAACTAAAAAAATAAAAAATTGACAGTTTTTTTTTTTTTTATATCTAATTTTGGACTTCTAGAAACAAAGGAAAAAAATCGACATTGCATAAGACTCGGCCGTTATACCTGTTTTTTTGATTGTGGGCAGTACTTTGTGTGTGTGAACGTACTTGTCGTTATTAAAACAATATTATTATTATCGGCATTGAATACAGTATCGACATTGAATATCTATACGTAATGAACATCGACATTGAAAATCGTGATTTTAGGATTTTTATAAACGTGTCATAACGATAAGATTTTATTGTAAATTATACTAACGTTATTAACACTAAACACTTAAAATGTATTAACGTTAATCAAGTTAGTTTATATCATATACGTTGCTGCGTTTTACATCATATCGATATGTTTTACATCATATCCATCATATTGATATATGTAGTTGCGTCTTTGTGATTACTATTTCATATATTCATATTACATTCAATTATGACAAAAAATGACAAGAGATTTGTTAACTTTTTTTCGTTTTTTTTTTTTTATTAAATAAATTCCTGTTTTTTTTTTCTAGTCATCGTTTAGACTAAAGTTTAAAATATCACAAATGAAACAAAAAATTAAAATAATAAAGTAAATGAATAAGTAAATTCAATCAAATATATATATACAAAATTTCAAAAATATCTATTCATCGTTGAAAATAATCGTTGAATAAATAAAATAAAGTGCCCAACACAAAAATATAAATGTATTTAGTAGTAAAAATGTATAAATATTTCGTAACAAAAAAAAAATAAAGGTGAGTTGTGCAAGAAAAATGAATAAATGTCCTTCCAATCAAATAACAAATGAATCAATAACAAGTGAAATGAAAATGATCGTGTACTGTTTGTTATGTATGAACATGAAAAAAAAGGTACAATCCTATTTAATATGTACAAAAAAAAAAAAGATATATTATCATTAAAGAACCTATTTTCTAAAAGAACCTATTTTCTAAAAGAACCTAATTTCTAAAATTTAATTCTGATAATTTTTGATAATAATTTGATAATTGCTAAATCAAGTAGAATCAAGTAGTAGTATTAACTTTTCGTGAAAGCATAGTATTATATGTATCGGAAAAATCATTTGGTAATCGACCATAAGTTTGATATAACGAACTTTTAAGCCTACAATGAGAAAATACCAAGTATTCATAATTTGCAAAAAATTCTTCTGGCAATTCCCAAGAATCAGGATCTAAAGGATCTCCATGACATTTCGATTTTGTAATTAATAATTCAATTAAATCATAAAGATCATAATTATTTTGATATTGAATCATTCTAGATCTTAAATGAAGACATGGAATTAAATCAATTCGTCTATCGTGTGGTAACGTTAAATAATGAAGTTGTGCATTGGTAAGAGGATATTTAAATTTTGGAACAACCGGTGTATTATAAATATCTGTTATTCCAACTAATTTCCCTAGTCGAACTGCTTGATCAAGTTCTTTAAATAAATCACTTGATATCTCTGAATTTGTAAGGACGACGTTGTTAAGATTGAAATTCGAATAAATCTCCCTTGATTCATCAACGTTAGGTGAGAATAATTCATAATTTTCATTAAATATGGATTCCGCGAGTGAATCAGGATTCTGAACAACAAGATCAGAAGTGGTAGTAAATGAGTCATTGTTTGTCAAGACGTCGTTAGATTTCGATAGAGTGAAAGTTTTTGAAAGTTCCGAACCAGTAATATATGTTTCATTTGGTATGTTTGGTATGTTTGGTAATATATTCGATATATTCGGAATGTTTGATAAGTTCGGTATAGTGTTGGACGGTTCCAAATTTTCCAAGTTCTCCAAGTTCTCCAAATTCTCCAAATTTTCCAAATTTTGATGATTCAAATGAGGTGAGATAGGCGGACTTTTCGTTACTGAAGATTCTGGTGATAAAGAGATAGTACTATTTGGCGGTGATATAAAAGAATTTACACCGGAGAGGTTATTATTCATTAAATTAAATGATTGTAAAGATCTACCCATCTCAACAGGAACCGAAGGCACTTGATTATCCAATAAAGGACCGGTGAAATTTAAAGATGGTGAAAGAGATTGAACACGAGATAATATGGTGCTCTTGATTTTAGAAGTTGTATCGTTTCCTCCACAAATATGATTAAGAACCATTTCAAAGTTAACGGAAACTTGTTTCCAATAAAGATTTTCATGCCGAAGACGCTCGATCAACGAACGCAATTGTTGACTTTCGCGAAAAGCTTTGACGGCAGATTCGTATTGACTTTCTCTTAATGATTTAATTGTATTTTCTAAATCTTTTAGATGACGTTCTTTTCTTTCTCTGAATGCACGTTGAGCGGCACGATTTTGACTCTTACGTAATTCAGGAGAAGCGGGATTAGGTTTACGACCAGGTTTTTTCCTTTGAGGAGGAGTAGGTTGTTGCGGTTCTTGGTCTTTTTTATTTTGATCATCAACATTATTAGGATCGATATCATCATCTTCATTGAAATCAAAATCTTCAAGACCATTATATAGATATTGTTCTTCATTCATTGAATGATTTCGTTTTAAATTCTTTGAATTTTCATGATTAATATCATGACCGGTTAAGGCATTTAATTTTCTTTTCAACATTTCTTCGCCAGAGTCATTCATTTTTAAAATTAAAATTAATTGTTAAGGTTAGTTGTTAAGGTTAGTTGTTTTTTAAGTTTGTTAAAAGTTTGTTAAAAGTTGTTAAAACTAGTTAAAGTCAGTTAATAATATTAACACTTTTTTTTTTTTCAAGTGCGTATTTTAATAATAAGGCTTTGTAAGACTTTATAAAAAAATTACTTTTTTTGATTTTTTTAAAATTTTATTATTTAAAATTTTAAAAAAAACGAAAAAAAAAAAATCAAAAAATTGAAACAAAAGAACGTAGAAATATCAGGCTTTATAAAAAAAAAAAAAATCTGATAATGGGATAAATTATAACCCGAGATCTGAAATGTGTAATATATGTATAGTATTGTATAACAAAAGTACAGTACCTACGTATGCACGTATCTGGTATGTATGTACGTTACGTCCATTAATATGTATATACATATATATATATATAAATATATATATATATGTATGTATATGTATATATATATATACAATAAATATGTTATTTATATAGTAATATAGTAATATAAATATCAATATTTAAATATATTATATATATAAAATATACGTAGAATATTCTTGAAAAAACGCCCCGAAATTTCCGAGTATTAAAAAAAAAAAAGTCGGATTTTTTGTCCCTGATATTATACTAATTAGTACATAGATAGTAAAAATC